TAAAAAATTAAAAAATTAAAATAAATCTACTAAAAATAAGCAAATAAAGTATATAAATGCTAATTAATTTTTTTTATTAAATAAAATTATTTAACAAATCTATGTATAATTTTTTTTTTTAAATAACTATTATACATATATTATAGATCAGTACTACCTAAGCAACCACTGGGACTACTAAATTAAAATGGGGTGAGTACTACAAGAATATGAATAATGAAACTTCAAGAATGGTTATGGGTTACCTACCAAATGATCCAAGAAGTCAAGAATAGGTTGCCTTCGCAATCGTCTAACATCACTGATAACATCATCTTTTTGAAGGGACTAGGACAAGATGATTGGCTATTTCCTCGTGTATTTCTTAATCTCCGTGAATCATGTTGAAATATCTTTCATTTTGTTCTAGTATCATTTACCAAAAATCCAAAGTGCTAGAAAAAAAATTCTACCAAAAATCAAAATGCCACATGAGCCAATAAACAACAAAACGAATCAGAAGAAAGGAGAGTGCAAGACAACTGGGACTTCCAAATTCGTGAACTGGGAATACAAGGAGCCGTAGAAGAATAAAATGTGATCTCCTCATCCTAGAAACTTCCTTGACCATCAATCCTGAAAAATGTATAGATAAGTTCGATATCCTAATTGTTGTCTGGACTGGACAAACCAACCACCCACGGAGACATACTTTTGTTTTTGGTATTAATTTTTCGGTATTCAGTAATCATATTTGATCTAAATTAATTTAAAATCGAGTCATGTCGAATCTTATTATGAGATAAACTCTTCTAACATTTGTTTTTTCATTTACAATATTCGAACTCAAGATATTATTTAAGAAAAATCGATATCCTTTCACTTAAACCAACAAATTGTTAGTACAGACATATCTTTATGAGCCAACTAAAACCCGGGCTTGAAAGATAAACCCACCATTAATATCTTGAAAAATGTTTAAATCAGATTATTATAACACTCACCCCCACATTACTCTTTCTTCCTGCAGTGGAGAATACTAGAACCAGCTAATAATACGATCACAAGTGATTGGAGAAACCATCCTGTGCCAGCACAATTCAAACCAACTCATACTACGGCTCAACACATTCAAACTCAAGCTAAGAGCCGGAGATGAACTAATTATTGGCTTAGAAGGATCCATCCTAAAGTCATTACTCAAACTAGATCTTGATATCAGTTCTCAAACTTTGGGCATAAAATAGCTCCAACAGCTATTGAGGAGAAAAAAGCTGAATTGGGCCATTAAAGATCTGTTTTTACATACGATACTGCCACATTACCACCCCTTCTTGCTCCTTAAAAAGAGGCAAAAGGTTCATCATACTACCATGCTTAATTCTTCAATGAAAAAAATAGCCTCTGGCCCAAGAATGAGTGGATTCATACATCAAAGCAAATATAACGGAAGTTGCAAATGAACAGCCAATACCATAAACCAAATTCAGTATGCGCTTTACTCCATACCAAAGAGGCAACAGGTAAATACAAAGAAATGACACATATTGCTTGAGTATTATAGCAACAGAAATTCCAAAGTACACATAAGTTCCTACTAGAAGGCACTCCAATACAAAGACACTACCCACATATACCTTAGTTTCACACAACAAACAGACATCCTGGAAACAAATTAAAGCCTAGCGTAGACTGACTCAGAGACAAGACAGACACCACCAATCCCAGATGGAATGAGATCTATCAACAATGGAACATCTCAGAAGCCATGATTGGCTGCACAAGACAGGGGAGTTGCCATGGCTCCATCAAAGACTCCGGACCCTCTGGAATATCCATAGCCAGACTGTTATCATCTCCCAGTATCTGCAGCATAGAGTTGAGAGACTCCAACCTCTCCGTCAGTTCCATAGCTTGAGCCCTCAAGATATTGTTCGAACCTTCTATTTCAGCATAGCGTTGTGAGACAATGCTAATACTCTGCACGAGCTGGCTGTTCTCGTTCTTCAACGTGTTCACTTCGTTGAGCAGGTCCTCAAGCTGCTTCTGCTTCTTCATCCGTGAACGCTTGGCGGATTCCCGGTTCGACAGCATTCTCTTCCTCTTCCTCTCGTCAATCACTTCATAACGAGGATCAGTGTCGGATCCCGAACTCAATTGCTGCTGCACAGGAGCCATAAAATTGCCTTCCTTTTTTATTTAGATCAGGGAAAAAGATGATCAGATGCTACGAAGAATATCAATCCGAATAGAAGCTAAATGATGATAAAAAATCGAATTGTTAGAAATCGAAAGGGTTAACTTAATTAAATCGAGATGAACTCAGAGGATTAGTTCACGAGAAAACGTATAGAACCAGTACAGAAACACAACCGAGAAGGAATGCATAATACGAACACGAGGCATGAGGATTATAGAAGAACTAAAACCACTGACATGATCTGGACAATTTCAGACTACCCAACCCCCAACTGAACAAATCAACCCAAAAACAAAAGAAAAACCTCGAAGAAACCCTAGATCTGAACCAGATCTACAAATCGAAAACGAAATCGGAAGCAGATCTTAGAACTAAAACGAAATCGGAAGCAGATCTTAAAACCAGAACGAAATGGAAAGAGCAATACTGCAGAAACGAAATTGAGAAAGGAGGATGAGAAAAAGAAAACCGAGGGAAGAAAACAAACGCAGAAAGGAAACGGTAGCGATGAGAAATTAGGCGAAAGAAGGCTAACCAGGAATTGCTGGTTGGTTTATAAAGAAGAAGGGGAGGATCTTGATTGGCTGGTTGGAATTAAATATTTGAGATTAATATATTCATGTTTGATTGCATTTTTTTCGTTTTTTATTGGTGGGTAGTGCTCGCTGGCGTGCAGAATGACGCCAGCTAACCCTAGGAAACATCCTAACAACAACTAACAATAATTTCGCGCGGACGCGGTTTTTGGGAATATTCCCCTGTATTCCTTATACTTTTTTAAAAAAATATGCAAGGGGGTGTATTAAACAAAATAAAAAAACATACGGTACAGCATGGGAAAGGTGGAAAACAGATTCCCATCATATCCGCGCATTATAGTATAATAACACAAAATAAAGCCAGGAGGCCAATACAGAAAATCAGTAAAATCCGGAGACAAAATGAATGGCCCATGCAGCAAAGGCAATCTGCACATTCCACCCAAAAAAAAGAGGCAAATCTGCACATGGATTGTGTATAAGCAAAATCTATATACTCCGAATAATAAATTTTTTGATGTAAAATTTTATCTAGATTAATAAATGCTTTTAAAGAAAACATATATATTTTTACATTAATCTTATTATTATATTTTAAATTTTATTATTTATCATAACATAAAATTTTTTAATTTTATTTTTAATTTTTAAAAATAATATAAATAAAATTAAAAATATATACTTAACATTTTAATTAGGAAACATCTATTATTAGGGAAAAGAGGGAAAGTAACGAATTTTCGTTTTATTTTGCGGAGGCAAAACAAGAATTACGATTGCTACTTAGTTTGAGAGTATTAGGCTGTAGATAAAAGGCAAAACCATAAGTTAAGCCCCTGAACTAACCACAGAATCGCTATTAAGCCCCTAGACTTGAATTGATGCAGTTAAGCCCTTGAACTCTGGGATCAAAGCAATTAA